TTAGGTTTTCCAGCGCGCGATGCGATGGGCGGAGCCAGCGCCCGGTGGGGCGGAGCGCCGCGCGAGAGTGGGGAGGCTATATAAACCGCCGCGGAGAGAGCTCGAGGCTCTTTTTCCACGGGATAGCTCATTGTGAACAGCGCCACGATAGCGAACACCGATCAAAGCGAGAAAGTTAAGTCCGTCGCGAAAAAGACAGAGCGAGAAGTGCGTTACCGAGACCGCGTGAAAGAGGTTAGCGGATTCCGAGCGATCGCTAATCGAGCGGCGAAATTTCGCGCGAGAAGATCTGTGCGACGTAAAATCACGGCAGAACGTCGCATCGCGTATTGTGCGCGCGTCGTCTCGCCGGATCATGCGATCGAGCGATGATCGAGAAAGACGTTGTAAAAATATTTTATTTTTCAAATAAATATTTTTATTATAAACCGAAACCGATCTCGCGAGTGTGATCATTCCTCGTACCCATTCTCGAGCGAAAGCGCAGACCGAACGAGAGGACGAGGCCCAAGATCCAGAGGTTCCAGCGTTCGCGAAGGACTGATCAACCGACGAGTTCCTCCCGGCGATCTCTCCCGACAGGTGGTCCGACTTCCGCATCCGAGAGTCTTCCGAGGCATCGAGGGTCAGCGAGCGGCCGCGAGAGTTGCGGAGATTTCCCGAGACAAGGAGGCGAAGGTGATTAGAGTGCGCGTCTGCGATTCGATCGCGGAGATAAGCGCGCGAGAGAGCGTTAACGGATTCCGAAGGATCACGCGTCGAGCGCGAGCGCCGGCGCGTAACCCGACACCGCGTAGCGTTACGCCGCGCGGCCATTGTGTTCGGTGGCCGCCGCGAGCGCGCAGTGGTGTGAGGCGGCGGCTGGGTTTTTCCACGCCGCCATATAAGGTGATCGTGCGAAGTAAGGTGGCCGTGACCCGCAGTGGCGCTCAACCCAGGGAGCCGGCGTACCAGCACACCGAATCACCAGGACAACGGAACAGGAGAGGCTGCCGTTATCCGACGACCCTTGTTCGTTGGCGGTCAAACGAACTGGCGACCGTGAGGATTCTCCTCGACGAGGTAGGATCCGAACCCTGTTTACAGGTCAATCTCTCCGTCGTCCGGTCACAACCTAACCTAACCTAACCTAACCTAACCTAAGTCGACGTTTGGAAGCACTTGAGGCGAAAAAAAAAAACTAGCCGCGAAGTATGGCATTTCGAGGCCGACGAGGCTGACGAAAAACCGCCGGAATGCGACGATGTTTACGCGTCTCAGACTTTTTACGTGGGAGAGAACGCGACTTTGAGGGCACGATTGCCGAGGGGCGGGTGGTTGAAAAAAAAAAAGAAAAAAAAAATCCTTTCGAGGACATCCGCTACTCGGGCAGAAGCGATAAACAAAATCCGATTCGATTTTTGAAACGATTCGAGCGTACGGCCGAATACGAGGGGGTGCGCGAGAAGGATTGTTTACAATTTTTCGGACGGTGCTTAAGGGGCTCAGCTTCGACCTGGTTCGAAGTAAGCAAGCCAGAGAGTATGGAAACCGCGAGAGAGGCGTTCATTCGTCATTTTTGGGGGGACGAACACCAAGCGCGTTTCCGCGAGGAAATTTATACGGGAAAATACACAGCGAACAGCGGACAGACGATGTCCGAATATGCGCTGGAAATGATCAAAACATCGAAATACCTCGAACCGCCGATGACCGACAACGAGCTTATCTGTTGCGTTGAACGACATTTCGGTCAGGGGATTGCGCGCAAAGTGCGTCCCCCGACGGTAAAAAATCTCGAAGAGCTTGTTTCGCTTCTCGACGAAATCGAGATTGAGCGCGAGCGAACTAAAAAAAAAAAAGAAAAAAATCGAACAAAAGCGACAAGAAGTGGCGAATAAAGCTAAAAATAATGCGGAAAATAAACGCGTTGAGACAGCAAAAAAGCCATGGTCGAAGGATGCAAATGTCAGAGCGTTCAACAAGTTGAAAAATAACAACGAGTGTGACGATAAATCGAAATCGAACGACGGAGATTCCGAATATGCGGAAAAACGACCGCGAACGTAAAGAATAAAAATATAAACGTTTCTAGCGGCGAGAATAAGAAATACGAGATCGGAAAAATCCGTGTTGAAAAAGAAATTCTGGGAACGTAGCAAGCTAGCGGCCGTCAAAGCAACACCGAAGGATACCGATTCCGATGAAGAGAAAAATGCAATAGATTCACCGAAGTTAGCGGCTCTAAGGCCAAAGATAAAAATTAAAAAAGGCGTAAAGCCAAATAAATTAAAACGCGATTTACACAACACGAAGAGATTCGCACAAACAAAAGTAAAAATCGCTACAGAGACGGCGCGATCGAAGAAAGAGGAAGCGTCGGAAATCGAAACCGCGGGAAAGAATAAAGAAGCGGACGATAGTTCATCAGTGAAATCTAAAAAAATTGAACGGGAAAAAATAACCGCAGTTAAAGGTTTGAGCGCGAAAACCGCGGAGAATAAAAGTAAAATAAGAAAATCGGCGAAAGCGGCGGCGAAGGAGACCGTCGAAAAATTCGGAAAAACGTCGGAAAACACGCGCGACGATAAAAAAACGCGTGATGACGATCGAACTAAAAATAAAGAAATCGTAGACCGTGAGATAAAAACGGATCACGATGACGCAGAGCGGAACGCACATGCGGAAATTTGCAACGACGCGAAGCCCACGAGAGGGAAAATTCCCGCGAAGGGGCGCGAAACAGTGTCAAGACGGAAAATTTCCGTCGTATCGGGCGAACCGAAACTCGGTACCGTCCGAGTAAAAGAGATATTAGAAGATATCGATGAAATTACGCGAAACGATCAAGCGAAAAGATCCGCGATCGGATCTGCGTATGTAAATATAAACATCGGGTTTATATTTGTTGAAAACCTCAAGACCAAGGCGTTGCTCGACACCGGAGCAAAGGTGTCGGCGATGACCAAGGAATTATTCGATAGACTCATCGACGAAAAGCATGAATTACGCGTAATTCCGATTAGGAAATTTTCATTGATCGGAGCCTTTTCTGACAAGGGTCAAACGGCATCAAATCGCATGCAAACAAAATTCATGTTATGCGAGAAGGAATTCACGTGCGAGTTCATCGTGGTGAAGTCTCTCGCGTATAATGTAATACTCGGATTAGATTTTATGAAGTCTGATTTCGCTTCAATCGAATGCGAACCCGAAAATGTATACGTACGTTTTCGCGGAGGAAGCAAAATTTCGGCGGAAATTTGCACATTGAGAATCGAAGACGTTGAATTATACGTTAAAGCGATATTGAAGAAGCACGCGAGTTTGTTCGAAAACTAGCTCGGTCGCGTCAATAATTATGTTCATAAGATAATTATGAACGACGACAGGCCGTTCCGTAAAAACCCTATCCAGTGCCGGAAGTACATCGGACAAAGGTGAAAGAACACTTACGTGAATTGGAAGAAACGGGCGTGGTACAACGCGCATCCACGCAATACGTGAGTCCACTAGTCGTGGTTGTTAAAAAAATGGGCGATATTCGTTTGTGTTTAGATGCCCGCGAAATTAATAAAAGAATGGCCAGCGAGCACGATCAGCCTCCGACGATCGACGAGATGTTTCGTCGCGTCGGGAGTCGGAAATTTTTCTCGACTTTAGACGTAGCTCAAGCATTTCAGCAGATTCCGTTATCGGAAAAAAGTAAAAAATATACAGGATTTTCTTTCGATAACCTACGTATTCAATCGATTACTGTTCGCGAGCGATTCCGGCAGTAAAATGTGGAAAGTGAAAGGCCGTCAGTGAAAAGAACGGTTGACTCTGAATGACAAAGACAGACTTTATTAAAGTCAAAATTAAAAGGTTACAAGTGTCCAGTGCGGTGATGACGCCACAATGTGAAGAGACGAGCAGTGCAATGAAGCGAAGCGGTCGCCGTGCGCGGATTCGCGAGAATACGTGCGGGAAATCAAAGTCCGAAAGAGATAGCGGTCGTCGTGTGCGGTTCGATCTGCGGATTTGCCGAGAGAATAGAGAAATGTCCAAAAGAATAGCGGTCGTTTGAATATAGCGGTGTAACAAGCGGTCGAATAATGAGTACGGAGCGTAAAGTGCGAGACTTCCCGTGCCCTCTCGCTGGGCTCGTTATATACCGGGCGGATTTTGGGCCCCGTTGCGACGTGGCCCAATTAACTTTGAAATTTGGCGGTGACCTCATGGCGCCACGCATAATTGGCCGCCGATGAGGTCAGGAAATAGCGTTGCGGCGTTTGCCATGCGCACGACCTTTTTCGATCAGCTGATTGGCCATCAGCTGATCGTGACGTATGGGCGCGCATGCCCGACCGTTGCGCGGATTTTGGCGGCGGTTGACAATGTTATTGTCAATTGTTTTTACCGAGCGTTTCTTTGGCACCGAAAAAAATGAGAGATAACTCGAACGGTCGGGTTTTTTGCCGAAAATAGAATTTCGAGAAGTTTCTCGATTCCCGTTGAATTCGGATTTTATAATAGATAAATGCGGATGTTGTTTCTTCGAATTTTTAGACCGTGACAATAATTACGGATTTCGAACATCCCGCCCGCCTCGTCATTACATGACGAAATTTGGGAGTGTGTGCGGATGCGGACAGGTGTCGCGTACTGTGCCATTGACGAGCTATCGATCGTGATGTATGAATGGAATGTGTGACGTAATGAGAAGACACGTGTCGAACAGTTTCGATTAATCTTTCGCGAGAATAAGTAATGCGGTATGGAGTGAAATTTTTACAGTGATGAAAGGAATGAAAAATCGTACATTGTGAAGTGCAATGATCGACGAAGGCTCCCGCAACGATAGTGAGTGAGTGATAGTGAGTGAGTGATAATGAAAGTACACGGTGAAATCGCGGAGCGTGCGACAGACAGCTGACATAGAAAATATACATTATATACAAGCGCCGGGAAGCTCCTTATATTACATATGTACAAAGAAGCGCGAAAACGCTACGCAGGGAGAATAACGCTTGAGACTGCTACCCGTCCGCGGGCGTGTGGGCCTCCTTGACTCCCGGCAGGAGGACGAGCTTTACAATCGGCCGGACGAGTTCCGAAGTGGACGTTCGGACGGTCACCACGCGGACAGTGCCGTCGCTTCCTGGGTGCAACCGGATGATACGCGCGAGAGGCCATCGGGCAGGTGGAGTTGACTCCGAGCGGATGAGGCACAAAGCTCCGACCTCCGGAGCGAGCTCGGCCTTGAGCCATTTTGGACGGGGTGCCAAGGCGTGGATGTACTCCTGGGACCATCGCTGCCAGAAGTGGTCGCGCATTCGCTGGAGGAGTTGCCACCGCGACAACATACTTGGTGAACGTTCGGCCGATGAAGGCTCTGGAATCGCCAGCAGAGGGGCGCCTATAAGAAGATGTCCTGGAGTCAGTGCGGACAGGTCGTCCGGATCGTCAGATAAGGCCTGCAACGGACGAGAGTTCAGACAAGCTTCGATTTGAGCCAGAAGAGTACTCATCTCCTCGAAGGTAAGCGTAGCTTCTCCTATCACCCGTCGCAGGTGATGTTTCGTCGACTTCACCGCCGCCTCCCAGAGTCCTCCAAAGTGCGGGGCGCTAGGCGGGTTGAAGCGCCAGGATATACCCTCTTTGGTGACTGCCTGAGAGATTCGACGGCCGTCGGGAGAAGATGCTCGGAAAAGTTCTCGGAGTTGTCTGTCTGCTCCGATAAAGTTCGTCCCGCAGTCTGAGTACATTTCCTCGCACAGTCCACGGCGGGAAACGAACCTGCGGAAGGCGGCGAGAAAAGCGTCTGAGGAGTAGTCAGACGCTACTTCAAGGTGGATCGCTCTGGAACAAAGGCAAACGAATACAGCTATGAACGCCTTATGCGCTCGATGTCCACGTCCTTTGGATGTACGGATGAATATCGGGCCAGCGTAATCGACTCCCGTTCTCAGGAAGGGACGAGCAGGAGTAACTCGCTCTCGAGGGAGGTCGCCCATGAGAGGCTGCGGAGTGATGGCTCGCCAGCGGGTGCAAGTCACGCATCGGTGCAGGATCCGCTTGACCACGGCTCGACCCTGCGGAACCCAGAAGCGGAGGCGGAGGAGCCCCAGAGTGAGCTGCGTGCCTCCATGCAGCGTCCGGCGGTGGCAGGATTCCACCATGAGCTTAGTGAGCCATGAAGTGGGCGGTGCTATCATGGGGTGTCGTTCATCGAAGGTCAGTATGGCGTGTTTCAGGCGACCACCGACACGCAGGACTCCCTTGTCGTCGATGAAGGGGTGCAGCCTGGCCAGGTGACTGCCGTGAGGCATTGAGCGAGACTCACGCACGGCGGCGAGCTCGGCAGGGTAGTGGACTCCCTGGACGACCCTGAGCCAACGGAGTAGAGCGGAGTCGAGTTCGTCCGGGAGCAGTGCAGTGCTGGGAGAACAGCGAGGAGTTCGGCGCCAACGAAGGCACCAGGCAGAGACACGTAAGAGTCTATGCAGCGTTGAGAACTGGAGGAGGATTTCCGGCTCCGGTCTGTCCTTGCTGGTGGCGACTAATACCGTCATTTTCTTTTCAGGAACGTTTTCCATCGATGTCTGGTCGTGGCTGTCCGGCCATAGCGACTGACCCTTGAGCAGCCAGGCCGGGCCATTCCACCAGAGGGAGTGGTTCAACAGGTCCCTCGGTGCGATCCCTCTGGACGCACAATCGGCGGGATTCTCTTGGCCAGGCACGTGCCTCCATTGAGCTTCGGGGAGCCGCTGCTGGATCAGTGACACTCGGTTGGCCACGTAGGTTTTCCACCGAGACGCGTGGCCCTTGATCCAGTGAAGGACGACTCGGGAGTCGGACCAGAGATATACGGGCGCCGATGGTAGGTCGAGTGAAGACCGGAGGTGCCGTACAAGACCCGTCAGCAAGGATGCAGCGCAAAGTTCTAGCCGTGGGAGCGTCACGGGTTTTATTGGCGCGACCTTGCTTTTAGCCGCCAGCAGGTGAATGGACGTCTCGTCGGCATTCTTCACGCGAAGGTAGACGACCGCCGCGAAACCACGCTCGGACGCGTCGGCGAATCCGTGGATTTCGATCTGCGTGCCCTGGTGGACAGTGCCCAGCCAGCGCCTTATTCGGAGGCGCTCCAGTAAATGGAGTTCGGAGAGGAGGCGCCGCTAGGACTGCGCGTCCTCAATTGGGAGCGGAGTGTCCCAATCCAGCCCTTCCAACCACGCTGATTGGATCAGTATCTTGGCACGGATAATAACAGGGGCGAGCCACCCCAAGGGATCGAATAACCGCGCCGTTTCCGCTAGGACTTGCCTCTTCGTGTACCCCCCAGAGGCTCGAGGCCGGATCGCGAAAGAGAATTCGTCACTGGCGGGATGCCAGCGCAGGCCTAAGGTGGAGTGCACCTCGTTCTCCCAGGAGTGGTGCGCCTGCTGGAGTCGATGATCCGGAGGAACTCCCTCCAGGATTGTCTCGCTATTGGCGGCCCATTTCCGCAGCGGAAACCCGCCCGCCGTGCAAAGCTCTCGGAGTTCCGTCTGCAAGGCGACCGCATCGCGCAAGGTGTCTGATCCCGTAATTACATCATCCATGTAACAGTCACGGCGCAGAGCGGCTGCCCCCTTCGGGCCCCGCGCTTCTTCGTCGGCTGCTAATTGGCGAAGTGTGCGGACGGCGAGGAACGGAGCGCAGGCGAGCCCGTAGGTCACGGTGTTCAGCTCGAATTCTTGGACCTTGTCGGAAGCCCCTGAGTGCCAGAGTATCCGCTGGAAGCGGCGATCTTCCGGATGGACGAGTATTTGCCGGAACATCTTTTCGATATCGGTGACGAATACGAAGCGGTGCCGGCGCCAGCGGAGAAGGACGTCAGCTAATGCTGGCAGTAAGTTGGCGCCGATAAACAGATGCTGGTTGAGGGAGTCTCCGGAGCTGGTGCGTTGTGACCCGTTGAAGACAACGCGGAGCTTAGTACTGGAGCTGGACTGGCGGAGGATTCCATGGTGAGGCAAGTAACATTCAGCGTTGCCGACCGTATGCACAGGACTCATATGTTTCAGGTCCTCATATTCCTGCATGAATTCTCGATACCGAACTCCGAATTCAGGATCTTTCTTGCACCGACGATCCATAGCGTTCAAGAGGCTTCCGGCTGGTTTTCGCGTCTCATCCAGTGACGTTGGCAAGGAAGAAAATGGGAGACGTACGACGTATCTTCCTGAGGCTGTCCGCTGGTGAGTAAGAGTGAAGAAGGTTTCACACTCCTCTTCCTCTGGCGTGGATGCAACCGGGGGAGACGATTCTCTCTCCTGTTCCCAAAAGTTGTGCACAAGCTGATTTAATTCTTGATCCACAGTGCACTGCAGGGAGCTGCGGAGACCTTGGAAGGACGCCGAGCGGGACCCTCCTGACAGAATCCATCCCAAGGCAGTTTTTTGGGCGAGGGGTTCTTGGGGACCACCCTTGCGAAGGCCGACTTCCAGGATGATCGAGTAAACTTCGGCGCCCAACAATAACTCGACCGGGTCGCGCTCCTGATACCTGGGGTCGGCGAGTTCAAGACCACGGGCATGAGGCCAGGAGGCGAGGTTGGTTACCGCCGGACCCTGATACGCCGACAGGCGGGGTAGCACGAAGGCGACGGCCTTAAGCTTGGCTCCTGTGATCGGCGAGGAGAGATCGAGCGACACCCTGCCGCGGGTTGACCCGGATCGAGCTCCGCCGATGCCGATGATTGACACTGAGGAGCTGGAGCGGGGAAGCCTCAGGCGCTGGACCAGCGCCTCGGAGATGATTGACACCTCGGAGCCTTGATCGAGCATCGCTCGAACTGGATGAAGATCCCCGGAGCGATCAGTGATGTGCACACGGGCGGTCGCGAGGAGGATCGCCTTGCGGTCAGATGCGGAGTGCATCGCGGATAGAGCGGTTGCTTCGTTGGACGAGGACGAAACATACGCGTCGTGCAGCGTAGTGTGGTGCTTGTTCTTGCACGTCAGACAGGTCCTTACAGACTGACATTTGGAAATTAAGTGATTCCCGAGGCAGTTATAGCACAGTCTGCCCTGTTCCACAAAGGACCTTCGGTCAATCGCAGGCTTGGCCTTGAATTCGTTACAGTGCATGAGCGCGTGCTTTCCCTGACACAGTGCGCACTTCAAGTGGTCGGATCCGGTCTTCGCGTGGTGGGCCTTTGCGGTTCGCGACGGACTTTCGGAGCTCTTCAGCGGTGATCTCGGCTTGGCGGCATTTAGTGTAAGAATGCGCTTGGCGATGAAGTCGACAAGAGTGTCGTGATCCGGCGGATCAGCGGAGTCGCAGGTAGAGGACTCCCATTCCATCCGTGTACGCGAGTCAAAAAGCTCGATAGCGAGGAAATTAAGGAGATCCATGCCATGGGAGTTGATGGGCCTCCCTATACTCTCCTGTGCGTTTACCGCGGTCATAACGGCGTTATGGATGCGACCGAGTTCCTCCGCGGATTCGCATTTCATTTTGGGAACCGAGGTGAACGCAGCGAAATTAGAACGGATGAGCTCTCTTTTATTCTCGAAGTGTTTGCACAGAACCGACCAAGCGCGATGATAATTGTCACCGGTCACTGTTAATGACTTGATTAATTTTTCAGCGGCCCCTTTGACGCAAGACCGGAGGTAGTGAAAGCGCTCGATGTCGGAGACTGACGCATTCCCCCCGATAACCGATAGGAAGAGATCGCGGAAGGACGGCCACTCCTCGTACGATCCCGAAAACGTCGGAAGCTTGATGCGCGGCAGCGAGGTTTTAGGAGCCTGTTCCTGATTCGGCTCGCCTTTAGCCTCGACGGACGCCTCGCCCTTGAGCTTTTCCGCGTAGCCGGTCAACGTGCTACGTTGCGTCACGTAAGTATTCTCCGCGACTTCGATAAAATTGGATACAGCGTACTCACTGTCCTGATACCGGTCTTTCAGCGCTGCTCGAACGAGCTCATGCTGGGCCTCCATTTTCTGCCAGAGGTTGTCCAGGATACTGATGCGGGCTTGGATGGCGTCGCGGGTGATGTTGCTCACGCCCATCTTCCGAAGATTGTCCACGGCGCGGGAGATCCGACCGTGGATGTCGTGCTGTGCCTCCAGCAATACCTTAACGTCTGTACTCATGCTCAATGTTCTTGTGTTTTCAGAGTTCACTGCACGCCACAAACTGCACGACACTGAGAGGATCACTCACGAAACAGCGGACGCGGATGATGATAATACTCCGGCTCGAAGGACCAGAAATGTTCGCGAGCGATTCCGGCGGTAAAATGTGGAAAGTGAAAGGCCGTCAGTGAAAAGAACGGTTGACTCTGAATGACAAAGACAGACTTTATTAAAGTCAAAATTAAAAGGTTACAAGTGTCCAGTGCGGTGATGACGCCACAATGTGAAGAGACGAGCAGTGCAATGAAGCGAAGCGGTCGCCGTGCGCGGATTCGCGAGAATACGTGCGGGAAATCAAAGTCCGAAAGAGATAGCGGTCGTCGTGTGCGGTTCGATCTGCGGATTTGCCGAGAGAATAGAGAAATGTCCAAAAGAATAGCGGTCGTTTGAATATAGCGGTGTAACAAGCGGTCGAATAATGAGTACGGAGCGTAAAGTGCGAGACTTCCCGTGCCCTCTCGCTGGGCTCGTTATATACCGGGCGGATTTTGGGCCCCGTTGCGACGTGGCCCAATTAACTTTGAAATTTGGCGGTGACCTCATGGCGCCACGCATAATTGGCCGCCGATGAGGTCAGGAAATAGCGTTGCGGCGTTTGCCATGCGCACGACCTTTTTCGATCAGCTGATTGGCCATCAGCTGATCGTGACGTATGGGCGCGCATGCCCGACCGTTGCGCGGATTTTGGCGGCGGTTGACAATGTTATTGTCAATTGTTTTTACCGAGCGTTTCTTTGGCACCGAAAAAAATGAGAGATAACTCGAACGGTCGGGTTTTTTGCCGAAAATAGAATTTCGAGAAGTTTCTCGATTCCCGTTGAATTCGGATTTTATAATAGATAAATGCGGATGTTGTTTCTTCGAATTTTTAGACCGCGACAATAATTACGGATTTCGAACAATTACCGTTCGGTCTTAAAACATCAGGATCCGCGTTCACCCGAGCGATGCAGAAAACGCTCGGAACGCAATGCGACGCGTTTACTATCGTGTATTTTGGATGACATACTAATCGCGTCAGACACAATGGAGGAGCACGCGTTCCACATCGATTTAATACTCGGAAAATTAGCCGAAGCGGGTTTCCGTTTGAACAGAGAAAAATGCGAGTTTTTCCGGCCGCAGATAAAATTCCTCGGGCATACGTTTGATGAGATCAAAGCGGAGATGAACCGGGAGACGAAAGCGGCGATAGAAAATTTTGCCATACCGAAAAATAAAAAGGGCGTTTTTAGGCTTGGGTAAATTTGGATAGAAGATTCGTAAAAAATTTAGCGGAACTCACGAAACCGCTCGAGAAACTCTTGCGAAAGAACGTAAAATTCGAGTAGATCGAGGAGGCGAACAACGCGTTCGAAAATGTGAAAAAAGCGTTCAGAGAGGCACCGAGTCTTTTTATAATAAAACCAGACCGAAGATTCGGGCTGTACGTCGATGCATCCAAATACGGGCTCGGCGCGAAATTATATCAGTATGACGAGGAAAAGCCGGGAATAGAGTACGTGGTGGCGTATGCCAGCAGAAGTTTGAAAAAGGCCGAGTTGAATTACACCATCACGGAACTCGAGTGTCTCGCGCTGGTGTAGGCGTTGCGCAAATGGCACGCTAATTTGCTAGGCAGACACGTCAGGGTTCACACTGATCACCGAGCTTTGAAATTTCTGTCAGCATGCGCGGATGACAGTTCGCGTATCGCGCGATGGTTAGCGTTTCTTGCCGAATTTGATTTAGAAATAAAACATATTCCCAGAAAGGAAAACGTCGAGGGGGATACCTTGTCCCGACGCAATATAAATAACGGATATGTTAAAAAAGAGAGCGCGATAAAAAGGATAGCGGCGATTCGACAGCCGAGAGACGACAGAGACACGTCCGAATGGGTCGATATGATAAAATTCGCACAAGCGTCCGACGAAAATTTACAGCGCCGTAAACAAACAGATCCCGCATGTCACGAGAGGAACGAGCTAATCAGAGTACGCGCGGAAAGGAGAGACCGAATCCTAATTCCCGAATCTATAAAATGGCAGCTAGTACAAAAGATGCATGAATATATTTACTACATTTCGGTACTGACAAGACGACCGATTTCGCAAAAAGATTTTTCGATATGAAAAATCTTGACAGAGTTGCGAGAGACGTCGTGGCGTCGTGCGATATTTGCCAAGCATCTAAGTTTTATACACGACCTACGAGAGGAACGGAATATTACAAGTTACCGGAAGAGCCCGGAATAGTCGTATCGTTAGATATTTTTGGACCTCTATCACAAACGCCTCGAGGTAACAAATACGTACTCGTAGCGATGGATCAATTTTCCAAGTTGACTAATTTATACGCGATGCAAAACCAAAAACTAGACGCGATAATAGACGCGTTAGAAACACGACATTTCCCGAAAAACGGAATTTCGAGCGAAATACTAACGGATAACGGGGGTTAGTTTGTGACAAATCGATGGAGAGATTTTGCCGCGAATAATGGGTTCTCGATCCGAAAAACTTCGCCTTACAACCCACAGAGCAATCCGATGGAACGGGTAATGCGCGAATTAGGAAGGATCGTGTATACGCGCATGATCGCCACACGACCTGGGATAAAGTCATTCCCAGAGCCGAAGCCACTATCAATTCAACTACTCACAGAAGCACAGAGTGCGTTCCTTTTGACATCCTGAGTTACAGGGTTTCATCGATCCACGCTTGAGGCCAGTCGAGATCGACGAAACCGAGGAGGGACAACGCCGAGCACTCCAGCTTCGAATTAGACGAGCAGCTAGAACGAAGAGCTGCGCAAAGGAAGAAGCAGACGGATAAGCATGGTGAAGCGCCAGTCTACCAATCAGGCACGAGAGTGTGAGTGAAAACTCACCGGAAGAGCGACGCTGGTCGCCGACTCGCAAAGAAAATCCACCTCGTGTACGACGGGCCGTACCGCATCCGCGAAGAAATCCGACGGAACGCATACACCGTCGAGGACGACAACGGAGAAATGGTGGGAGTTTTTAACTCTCGTCAGCTTAAGCCGCATCGGGAAGCCAGATTACACCCTACGATCCAGATCAACATGATAAAGGTCGAGGAAATGGTTAACATGACGCCGATGACGACTATTTACGAATTTTGCCGATCATTAACGGACAGAGTTCACGCAATCCGCGAGGACCAGGAGATCCGCGTGACAGAGTGCGGTATGCAGATAAAAGTCAAGGAGCAGCCGGAAATCACAAAAATAAAAATAGAGCCAAGTAGTGAGACTATGTCAGTTCTAACTCAGGTCCTCTCAGGGGGAGGGTGAGGCGCGAGGGGAACCGCGGTGCGGGGGGGAGTGACGTCACGCGCGGGGAAGGAGGAACCGCGGCGCGCGGTGGGTGACGTCACTCGCGAGGAAG